CCCCAAAACCCCAAAACCCCAAAACCCCAAAACCCCGAGCAAAATGACCCTAATTGACGTAATAATTGTCCCATATAAGAGAATATAGGTGTTTTTGAGGAGATTGAAGGGGTTATTGAGCCTTCTCTTCTTCTTCGTTGCTTTCTAATAAGGTTGGGAGGGTGTGCTTGGTGGAGAGGTAATTGTAAAGAGTCTCTTTGGTCTCATAAAATTGCTGAATTCCTTCTCCTTCATATTCTTTGTTTGTCTCAATGTAGTCTTTGATGTATTTGTTGATATAAATCTTAAGCTTAGGAATCATCTTTTTAGTCGCTAAAACAGATCAAGTATGTCAAGATTTGCTTACCTTCTGTAACAGTGAAACTAATCGAGCTAGGATTTATAGTGTTCACAACATCAACATCCTTGCTACGCAAGAAATCAGCAAGATTGTAGTTATTGCAATTATTTTTCAGTCTAAAGGCCATGATACTAAGGTTGTTTTGAGTCAAAATTTCTATATATTCTTTGTTTTCTTCCAGATTTTTTCTTAGAACATTTGTAGAGAAGATGATGTCATTAGCCTTTTGGATATAATTGTCTTTACCTGTACCCAAAATTCTCACCCAAGATGCACTAGTTGCAGAGGCGTAACGGCTTCCTGAAAGATTTGGTGAAGCATACATTCCTCCATTCCAATTGAAATGAGCATAGTATTGATACTTTCTGAGTACTCTTGTTCTATAAATCAAACATGCTGTTCCTGGGAATCCAAGGCCATATTTGCTCAAGGAAACTCCAATTGTTGTGACACCCTCAGTAAGGAAATTAGCATAGTTTCCATCACCAAAATGTACCTCTTTAGGGCCAAGTAAGAAAGAGCTGTAATTGCAATCGATATGGAATCCTATTCAGTGTCTGTTGCAATATTCTGCAATTGGTTTGACAGGATCTAAATGAAGTTAGTTTAGTCCTTTCCGGAAAATTAGTACTGGTGAAAAGGTTAATGAAATGATTTTAAAGAAACACAACTTACCAAATACTCCAAAGACTCCATCTGGGTAACTGAAGAATATAGCCACTGTATTTTCATCAACAAAAAGCGAGATATCTCTTGGATCTAAACAGTTTAGCACAATATGCAATAAATGTACATACTTATCTGAGCATTTTGATTAACAGGGATTCTCCTTATCTCAACATCGATAAGATCTCCAGATCTTTCGAGGCTTGGGTCAAATGTCTGGGGAGCAATGACGTTTGGCTTTGTAATGCCTTTTTGCTCTTTCCCCCAATTTCTGTAAGCAAAGAGAGCGTTTCTAATACAATCCGCTTCTGAAGAGTCAAGTATCCCGCAAGCTTCTTTATCTCCTTTATACATGTCAACTCACATCTTGATAATCTCTGCTTCCATCTGGCAGTTTCCGCCGAAAATATCATAATGTAGAGGATTTGATTTGAAGAATGTTCCACTTGTTTTGCAAGCAAGCTTCTCCACTTCAGAGTTCATTTCTTCCACACTCTTATACTTGTTCTTTGCAACAATTTTACCATCGACAGTAAGACCATTTTGCTAAAAATTAGAATTAAATGACGTATACGAATTAAGTAAGTTAGATCATAACTAAGCCTACCTCGTCTAGCTCTTTAATCAATTTATTAAATTCCTTATCTTTAAGAGGCTGCATTGGTAATTCAGAGTAAACTCTCTTCACGTCACATTTGGTGTTGCGTAGCCATTGCTCTTTTGCTTCTTCCTTCTCTTCTTCAGTCAGATATTGCTCATAGTTATTCCTAACAAGTATTAAATAAGGTCTTACCTTCTTTTTCAGCACATAAAGTTTAGCATTCTCTGAAAGCGAGGAGAGCTAACTGTCCTGCATAAGACCAGGCAAAGAATGTATCCACCAACAATTATCAATAACAGCTCAAAATGATTGAAATTCTTGAAGATAGTATCTGTATCAGAACTTAGCTCTATAAGACCATTAGTACAACTCCCAAGTAGCTATATTACAAGCTGTAAGAGTAGACTTACTGTTCCATAGTGAGTTTATTTTCTCACAAGCTTGCACAATGTGTTGAGATTCTAAAATAGTTTCCATCTGGCGTTGCGCTCAAAATAATTATTATATCGGAAATTACCTCAAGATGGGGTTTTGGGGTTTTGGGGTTTTGGGGTTTTGGGG